CAGGGTTCTCCCTAAGTTGCGCAAACGGGGCGCGCGCGCCCCGTTTGGGGAAACTCCCCCCTGTTTCAATCGTTGCGCCCAGTGTTCGAAATTCACGTCGGCCCGTCGGCCCGCCGCCGACAGTTTTGATGCCGGGCTTACAGCTTCGTGATACAACAGGCCCGCTGATCCTACAGCTATTTGATCACCGAAAATTCGAAACACTGAGAAACTGTTACCTGTAGAAATCTGTTCATGCATATTAACTTCCAAGGGTATTTATTTGAAAACTAATCCGTGATAAACCGTGACATACATGTAAACAATGCGTTCGCCCACTGCAATCAACTTTAGTTGGCATTCAAGAAACGTGCGTGGGATGTTCGGACGCACAGGTTAGCACAGGTTCCTGCATCCAGTAGCAACGTTGGCATACCAAAAATCGATAAGAAGTGGGTGGAGCTTACTTTTGGCCAGTTGTAGTAAACCCTACAATTGTGTTGGTCAGGGTTTATTTACGTGCACGGGTCGTGCAGCACGCTCACTGTTCACGACTTCACGTGCGCTAGGTTGTGGAGTAATTTCACATCCCCGCGCATTTCACGTTTGGATGTAAACAATAAAGTATCACTGGTCGTTATTACAAACGATCAGTATACTGTTTTAAAATAATATTAAGAAGATTTAGATAATATATCATGTTGAATTATACAGTAAATAATAATAATTGTCTGTTTTTAACGTTTGGAAAAACTATATACATTTATACAGGGTGTAGATAAATAAAAGCTTCCCTACGTAAGAGCTTGTATGTCTACAAAATACATTTACTTCGGACACACTCAACACAGACGGAATTCCCCAGTGCCCATCAAAATTTTACAGTAGGTAAATTTTAAATAATATTTTGTTTTTCCACCAAAAAGTGTTGCTAGTTCTAAGCTATTGGAGTATCCTGAAATGGCTCTAGATTGCATCTCAGAGCTTATAATTTTCAAAAATGTTCTGGCCCCCAGACCCCCATAGAAGTCCCCGATGTGTACCAGACTACCAGTCTGTCTTTCTGCTGTCAAAGTGGAAAGTCGTAGTTACCAAGGAGCTACATATAACAACGATGCGGCGTTTCCTTAATTGTGAGCACCCGGCAACGAAGCATAAACAGTCATCCGACGAGAGGAAGGAAAAACAGAGGGATTATGATTATGGACATTGATAATGACTAATAAACATAAGGAAGAACATGATATGCTGTTTTATTACTGTAATTTGCTCCAAAATTGGCGGGCCTACAGCTTTGCTGGCGGGCCTGCAGCTTTTAGAAGCTATAGGCCCTGCAGGCCTACAGCTTTTTCTGCTCGGTGGCAAACACCTTGCGCCCCGTTTAAATTACCTCCGCCCCGATTAAATTCCACCACAATATAAGTTTGACAGCGCGGGAATCTAGCGTCAAGAATTCCCATTCGACCAGGACCACCGACGCGTGTATTTTTACCGTACCACGCATGCACGGCAGACCATACACAAGTACAAACAGTTAACCTGTCCCGAACCCAAAACTAACTGTACACCGACTCGGCTATCTTATATTTACAAGAACCCCAAATACCGTCTATGGTGTGGTGGCGATTTTACGCATTAATTAGTGATACGGTAAAAAAACACGCCCCCGGACCCCCCCCCCCTAGTTTCCCCTCCCTTTCCTCTTCCCCCTCCCCCTCCCCTCCCCCTGTTTCAACTTCATCCTGGGGGAACCCTGGAAATTACTTGTATTCGATTACGCGACACGCGGCGCGAGTGTGACGACTTGGAAATATCTGTGTAGTTTCGTAGAGTTGTGTGTGATTAGCCTGAAATAGACGCACGAGCAGTAGTTTTCATAATACTGTGTTTCTGTTATCTATCGACGCAACCTGGCGCTACCCCTAAAACGGGTGCCACTACGGCACCTACTAAACTGAGAACCTGCCAGTGCCGGAAAGTGTCTACATAACACTGTGTTCGTGTTCTCTAGACTAAGTCATAACACAGTGTCCGTGTTATCCATCGATGTACCTTCCTTAGACTGGTACCCTGCATAACACAGTGTCCGTGTTATCCATCGATGAACCTTCCTTAGAGATCATCTTTTTCGGCGGTAAAATCGGTTACGCCGCGTTTTTCGGATTAAAATTAGGACTTAATGTACTGCCTGCGTGGTGTATAGGCAACTAGCAAATGCAGCCCGTTTGCAAATACAAGTAATTGCTCAGTGTACTGCAAGTATTACAAGATATTGTTCAGTAAAACACCCACGGCTCAAACGAGAGACACATATAGATCTAGTAAACTTATAGCTCAATTGCCCACCATCGGGAGACAAACGTTTTGTTAACGCAAATGGCGATTGGCGTTTCTCGTGCCGCACCATCCATCCATTCGCGAAGGATATGAGCTTGCCATTGAACCATATCAAGCTTGACAGTGTCACGGCACTTGTTTAACGCTGGGCGGTGAAGCGATGGCCACAGCATGGCCACCAAATTGCATCTGTCTTACTCTTACGTAAGCTGTCACATAATCAAGACAGCACACAAACTAGACGTGTTGCTTGGAGAGCTGGTGCGCTCTTGGAGTTAATGAAGGACGGTGTGCTATTCCACTCCGATGATTCACTGCTGAGGTGGAAAACCACGACAGTCACAGTATGGCCATCAAATCCACCTGTGCATCCTTATTCTGCGAGGGTCCTCACCCCACCCTCGTGCTTTAGCTTGTCCTAAAGTTGATAATGCCCGTAGGGGGGCGTACTATCGTGCAGTGGTTTGAATGTATATCTCGGGGCTTGCCGCATGTTCCACTGACCCCAAACGAAAAACGACTCACGTCGAAACGCGAGAGATACGGAACCATAACCCGGCATTGTTCGGCACAATACTGGCGCTACGCTCCGTAAGTGGATTATGGTGGTTGCTTCTATGATCGGCGCTGTTACCAGTGATCTATTACCCATGAATCTCTGAGCAGCTATTGCTGCTGCTGCTGCTACTACTACTGCTGCTGCTGCTGCTGACGCTGTTGCTGCTCCTGCCCCCACTGCTGCTGCCCCCGACGCTACTGCTGCTGCTGCTGCTGCTGCTGCTGCTGCTGCCGCCACCACCACTACCGCCGCCGACGCTGTTGCTGCTGCTGCCACCGACGACGTTGCTGCTGCTGCTAGTGCTGCGTGATCATCACGTAACCACGCTCTCGCTACTGACCCAGTAGCCGGTCAGCGCCAGTAGCATTTTCATCATAAGAATTAAGCACAAAGAAGCAGCTATGCTAAAGATTCTGATCTTGAAGTTTTTATTGCGAGATTTTTGCTCAGAAACGCTCAATCCAAAAAAATATAGCGAAATATAGTCTCATCTCACAGCGGATATTATAAGACGCAGCGATGCTTAAAATAAGATAACAACCCGTCGCGCTCAAGATTGCCCACGACGTGT